ATTTCGGAATGACAATCAGATTCTGGAGTTGGAAGGTCGACAAAGTTTTAATGCCTTTGCCAATACCCAGCTTGATACTATCCTCCAGCAAAATAATATTCAGTCACTCGTACTAGCAGGGGCAGCCACCGCAATCTGTATTGACTCCACTGCCCGCGCAGCCCATGAAAGAGGATATGAAGTGTGCATCTTGTCAGACTGCATCATTTCTCGTACTGCTTTGGAGCAGGAATTTTATGTTGAGACCATTTTTCCCCTATATGCCGAAGTCGTAACGTCTTCAGAGCTTACTTAGCGGCAGCGAAGCTATGGTCGACCCTAACCAACAATCTCAGGCTGATATAGACAACGAACTGTCCACTCAGATTCAATATCGCTTAATCGAAAAGCTATCTGAGTCTGAAAAGCGCTATCGCACTCTCATTGAGAACCTAAAGGAGGTCGTTTTTGAATGTAACGCCTCTGGAGAATTCACTTTATTAAATCGTGCCTGGACAGTCACCTTAGGGTATCCAATCAAATCGAGTTTAGGAAAAAGTCCGCAAGAATTTTTAGTTCCTGAGGATAGAACTGTTTGGATCCAGGCTCTAGAAATGCCCACCGATGTCCAAGGGCTCTGCAGCGAGCTTAGATTTCTGAATCAGGACGGTGGAGTTGTTTGGCTGGAACTTTCTCTCATTAGCAAACTCAACCATGGGGAAAAGGTTTTCTCTGGCTCACTGATCAATATTACTGATCGAAAGCAAGCGGCATTATCCTTAGAATCCATTAACATAGCGTTAGAGGGTCGGGTCCAGGAAAGAACCCAAGACTTAACTCAAGCCAATGAAAAGCTCAAAAAGACCCTTGATGAGTTAAAGGAGACCCAAACTCAGCTAATACAAGCTGAGAAGATGTCAAGCTTAGGGAAGCTTGTTGGCGGTCTAGCACATGAAATCAATAATCCCACCCATTTTATCCATGGCAATATGTTCCATTTAGAGCAGTATTGCCAAGACATTCTCAAAATCATATTCCTTTATCAAAAGCATCATCCTAAATCAGTCCCAGAGATAGAGGAA